TGCTTCGGTTTAGGTACCCGGTCAGTCTCACAGCTTTTACACATATCAAATGAGATTTGTGTGATGCATATATATTTGGTGCCTCCTTGTGTTAAATAAATAAATAATAAAATAATATTCACTAGGAACAACATTAAAATGATTGGAATATTCAACTAAACATATCGAAAGTAATACGAATCACACTTCTGAAATCCTACTGTTAGCAACTATTGAAAAGATGTAATTAATACATCACCAATCATCTACCTTGTTTAAATACTCGCTTTTTCTGAAGTCTGAATCACTTAATATTATTGGTAGTTATTACATAACAATTTCGAATATATTTTCATCATACCAATGAATATGTGCTGAATTTGGTGTATTCATGTAGAATAATTGGTAGTAAAGAGATATATACTACCTGTTTTTTTCATTTGTGGCCCTCAAGCTAAAAAAGGTTATGCATGTGAATGTTTAGTATTTCTTGCAAATACTAATTTTTTGCTTATTTCACAAGAATTAGGAACAATATTTTCCTTATGTTATACCTTTCATCTGGTTACAGTAAGAGAATTTTTCAATCTTAAAAGAACAGTATTCTGGATAAAAACAAACACTAATTACAATTGATTGATCACTGGGTGATGATCAATGTCATGCGTGTCTAGTCCTTATTAGTGCAGATCGAGTGCTATCGATCATGTTGCAATGTGGCCACCAGTCTAGGTGACTCGACACTGCGGGCACTATGTATTGAGATTTAGATGGTGGTTGGAGGTAGTCAACAGGAAACCCTGGACCCGGGTTTCGTGCTACTTGGCACTCGTCAGCAAAGTGTACCTGTAATCTTGAGGGAACTGGTGCTCCCTGGCGGATTCGATCTCGTGTCACCCAGCTTCACAGTCAGAGACGTTACCACTGAGCTATCCGAGCCGATCGATAGCATTCGATCTGCACTAATAAGGACTAGACAAGCAAGACATTGATCACCACCCAGTGATCAATCAATTGTAATTACATCTCAGTCCTACAGGAGGTTAGTCAAGGCTCGGATAGCTCAGTGGTAACGTCTCTGACTGTGAAGCTGGGTGACACGAGATCGAATCCGCCAGGGAGCACCAGTTCCCTCAAGATTACAGGTACACCTTGCTTACGAGTTGCCAAGTAGCACGAAACCCGGGTCCAGGGTTTCCTGTTGACTACCTCCAACCACCATCTAAAAAACAAACACTTCTCGGTTTATTTTGAAGGGGGTGAACCAAGATGAAATTATGCCGACCATTTTAGATTTTCTTCTTGAATGCCTCGATGTTGATTAAAGCTGAGAGGTGTAAGGTTTGCCTAAAAGCATATTTGTACATTATATTGTTTGCATATTAAACAAATTCATAAGTCTTCTAATTGAACGATAGATTCAGTTCCAAAGGTCTTCTAGTAACCCTCAGGTTAAATCTAAACAGTGACTTGAACATGAAAGAAAAGTCACGAAATATAAGAGAAACGCTCTACTTCGAGAAAATCTAGGGTTTTATAGAATTTTAGATGGCCCTGAGTTTCTGGAAAATTCTGGAACGCTACCAAACATAGTAGTAATATAGGTAGTCATCCAATTAGAAACTAGACATGTGACTTTTCACTTTCTAGATGTTTCTGGCAGAACTTCTATTGAGTGCTGATTGGATAAGATGCTTCCCAGCGTCTTCAGAGCCATTTTTGGTTATTTTGGAGGAGTTTCCTGGATCTCCCCAACACAATTAACTAATTAAATATAATTTGGGTGTTTACTGGGACACAACATTGAAGTTATATACTTACAAAGCAGATGACTCAAAAATTTGAGTAGACAAGATCAATTTTTATCTAACATCATTGAAATTCATCATTTAATTATGACAAACAATAGTATCAGATTATTCATAGTATGTGCTATATCCTGTTGACGATTAAATTACAGGTAACTTGTGAGAACTATTAATTGACTATTCAGTGATTAGATTGTGTTTACCTATGTCCCTATAGATTATTATACGTTTTACTATTCTTCAGTTATGTTCAATTTATTGATTCGAGTCTCCCACGTTCACAGACACTTTTAGCTTCATCTTGTTTAAATATTATTTCCTATTTATGGTGTGGTGCAACCAATTTGGCTGGTATATAAACCAATTATGTTTGGAATAAATGATTCACATAGTGGGAGTTGTTATTGGTGTTTTGGATTCAACTGGAAGGGTTAGGTGAACAAAGGATCAATAAAGACGTTAGGCTGTTCATACCGGTCGAAGGTGATTGGTTTAGCTCAGTAGTAAGATTGAATAAGTTGTATTTCGATTGGTGAATAAATTACGTGGTAACTGGTCGGACTTGAAGTCACAATAGTAGTACGCTACTCATTTCAACTGGAAATACCCTCCTTTTGTATGAGTGGTACAATTTCAAATTTGTGTTTTTATTGCGTGATCGGTTTTCTAATTGAATTAATATTTTTTTTTAATAATGTGAATTTCAATAGTTGGGATCATGAATCAGTTGAAACAAGATCACCATGGAAAACCTGGAAGCATTGGACGGCTGTTCATGGATTAGTTGAAGTTAGACATTAACGCCGTCGATACTGGTTCAGTGGTCTATTGGTCAAGCGCTCACGCGCAAGACTGACAAGTCCTAGGTTTGAATCTCGCTAGACGGGATCGTGGGTGCGCACATCTGAAGAGTCCCACAATAGAACGAAACGGCTGTCCAATGCTTCCAGGTTTTCTATGGTGACCTAACTTCAATTGGCTCATGATCTCAATTATTAAAATGACCACAACCTCCACAAAACCCCTTCTGAAAATAACGTGACATTAAGATTGATGCAACTCTATCTTGCAATTCGAATATTTTACGTAAATTTATCATTTGAAAATTCCTATTCAATATACATGGAAAAGAAACGCCTTATTTTATAGTATGTAATAGCGTAACAGGAAAATAATTTACTTATTATCATAGCTATATGTCACAATGCAATGTTGTCATTGGTAACATTTGTTTATGTTTATTTTCAAGATAAACACTGAACATGATGATAACTCAGCTGGAACTGTTGCAACAATATTATTTTCTTGTTTTAATTAAAAATATCACAATAACCATCAACTTCTAATTATAAACAAAAATTCTAAATCGTTAGTATAGAGTTGTAAAGATTGTTGAGTATCACTGGAATCATGAACCGATCAATATTAGATCCCTATTGAAAACTTGGAAGCAATGGACGGCCGTTTAGAAAATTATTATATGATCACTAGTGATTAGCTTTGGGAGGAAATTTCCAAAGTACTTGTGGGAAGCTGTGACCAATGGAGTTCAATCGTGTCAGATGTGAGCCAATCACTCGCCAAAATCAATAGAAGATGGTTGCGCACTATTGTGGAACGATTAGAATTAGATTTATACAACATTGGATACCTGCTCAATGGTCTGAATATTAAATGTTCGAGCATGAGACCAAAACTCTAGTACTTGTCTGTGAAATTTCAACTAACAGAACTCAAGAAAGAAAACACTATTGATGAGAGAAATAGATTTTATTACACTTTCGATAAGACACTATGTTTATTCTCATCAAAATATATACACATAAATTTTACTGATTAATTTCAAAAGTTCAGATCATGAGTTAATTGAAGGTAGACCATCACTAAAAACCTGGAAGCACTGAATGACCGTTCCGTCCTATTGTTGGACTCCTCAGCAGTGCTCATCCACGATCTCGAGATTCGAACCCAGGACCTATCGTTCTTGCATGCAAACGCTTAACCTCTAGACTACTGAGCCGACATCCAACGGTGTAAATGTCTAACTTCAACTAATCCACGAAACTGAACGATAAATCTACCAGTGCAATCACAACTGATTGATCACTGGGTAGTGATCAATGCCATGTGTGCGAAGTCCTTCTTAGTTCAGGGTTTCCTGTTGACTGCCTCTAACCACCATCTTATCTCAACATAGTGCACGCAATATCGAGGCACCTAGGCTAGTGGCTAACTTGCAACTTGGTCGATAGCATTCGATCTGCACTAATAAAGACCTGACACACATGAAATTGATTACCACCCAGTGACCAATCAATTGTGATTACATCTCAATCCTACAGGAGGACGGTCGCTGCCCGGATAGCGTCTCTGACTGTGAAGCTGGGTGACACAGGGTCGAATGCATCAGGGAGCACCAGTTCTCTCAAGATTACAGGTACGCCTTGCTGACCAGTGCTAAGTAACACGAAATCCAGGGTTTCTTGTTGACTACCTCCAACCACCATTTTACATCTACCATTGTCTTCAGTGAGTTACTATCTCACAACAGACTCGGTTGAACTCCATTGGTCATTGCTTTTCACTAGAAGCAGTGATTTAATGATTAGTTAATGAATATCACAGATAACAAAAATAGGAAAGACACAAAACTGAATTTTACACAGAATAACAATAAAACATATACTATATTTTATGCTGAACAAAACTTATACCAAATTGTAATATGATCTCATGTGTATTACTTCATCTCAACACCATCTTCTCCTGCTTCTTTTGTATAACTGGAACACCTATGAATAAAGTGATGAAAAACTTTTAACATTTTGTATTTCTTGTTTTATATCAATCTGTCGTATCCCCTATGAATAACTGAATAATTCTCGATTGGTTTTTACTTTAGTTTACAATTAGTAAAAAAGAAAAAAACTCCGAATGATTTGACACACAAAAAAAATTGTGATGAAATATCTCTTGAATTTAGACCATTAGTAGGTTACCACCGAAACAGTCTGATTTATTACAGATTGAAATCATGAGTCAATTGAAGCTAGACCACCATTGAAAACCTGGAAACACTGGACGGCCGTTTCATCCTAGTATGAGACTCCTAAGCAGTGCGCATCCACGACCCCGCAGGGCTCGAACTCAGGACCTACTGGCTTCGCGCGCGAGCACTTAACCACTAGACCACTGAGCTGGCGTCCAACGGTGTTAATGTCTAATGTCTGATTTATTGTTATTATTACTATTAGTATTATTATTACCACTATTATTACTATTACTATTATTACTATGATTACCATTATTATCACTATTACTACTACCACTATTATTATTATTATTGTATTTATTGTTATTATTACTATTGCTATCATTATTACTACCATTATTATTATTATTATTACTATTACTACTATTATCATTACTATTACTATTATTACTATCATTGTTATTACTACTACTATTACTATTATTATTACTATCATTATTATTGCTATTATTATTATTATTATTATTATTATTATTATTATTATTATTATTATTATTATTATTATTCAATAATAATCCATTCTGATAGCACAATTTAAACTCCATCAATAAAGCACACAAAATTATAAGGTTCGTTATTAACTCTAATAACAACAGTAACAACACAAAAAGGTGAAAAATTGCTTATCATTTCATTCTATAAAATTCTATTCACATTTATCAAAGAGAAAAAGAATAGAAAAAAAAAGCGGTAACTTTCATTACTCTTAACTCTATCCGTTTTCTACTTTTTTTTATAAAAAAAAATATAAAAAAATACTCTTTACATTGAAAGAATTTTCCAAGTTATAGATGTGTGTTAAAAGTTTGTTTGACACCATCACCACCACCATCACCATCACCACCAACAACAAAAATCAAACAAACAATTTGTATCAAAAAAAGAGAGAGAAATAAACAGAAACCTTGACTTCTAAGTGTTTACATAACTTGATAATGATATATATATATATATACATATGTAACATTTGATTATAATAAATACCCTATAAACTGTGTACAATATCTTTTCAAAAGCTACAATTTTGTTTGTATGTGTGTATGTGTGAGAATGTGCGTGTGTGAGTGTGTGTGTATAGGTTTGCATATATGTTTCTATGTATAAATAAGAATGGATACTTATCTTGAAAGAAAAAAAGTAGTTTATTTATTTGGTCATATCTAAAAGTTTCTATGAATTAGTATGATGATCAATAATATGTCATAGATGGTGTAATAATGGTGTGTTTACAACCGGAAACTTTTGATTTCTAATCTACATAATCAATATCATTGATCTGACTGGATTGGATTTTTAATTATCATGTTTTCATAATCTTATATATGAAACATATTCCTGTTTAATCTACATTAGAAAAGATAAGGGTAGATAAAGTTAATCGGTTCAAATGATTATTAAATTAGAATAGTATTCTATTCAAGTAAATAACAATCATATATACTTGACAATTTACAAAGATTAAGAGTTTTCATTTTCTTTTCTATTCTATTCTATTTAATAATAATCGTTCTATTCAATATCATATGTGTTATATAATATGGATATACATAATATGAAATAGTTCATAGTTTTAAATGGTGTTAAATCGATGTTACTTAGACTATTAATGAAAATCTCGAAACATTGGTGTTATAACTGTGAACGGCAGATTAGAGGGGAGCGAATTATCGATCGGACCAAAGACGCGCAAACACGTAGAACGACCTAGGGTTCTGATTGGTCCCGCTTGCCTATCTAGCCCAGTAGTTGAGTCCAGAACGCAAGTCACAGCCTCGGATGTAAGAATCATTATATTTCAGATATACTTTGTTTATATACCAGTCAAACAAACCACATCATACCATAAAATAGAAAATAACATTGTACAATATTGGCCAGTAGGAAAATGACACGTGAAATAAGTACTGACCAATAAGAAAATAATACCATGTCCAAGTTCAAGAATAGCATTAGGCTTAATAGGATAATTTCTGGGATATTTTCCTGAATATCCCAACAATTGGATGGTCATTTCGTCAATAAATTCCCCTCAAACATCATGGACCACACAATATATATATATATATATATATATATATATATATATATATATATATATATATATATATATATATATATATATATGATATCAGTTGTTTGTAAAACTTCAAATGTTTATCTATAACCATAATGTTAATGGCGCCATGAAATTCACCAGTCGTTTTACTAATAATATTCAATATTCTACACGACACATAGCAATCTTTTTTTTCTCTCCAAAAGTCTAAGGAAAAGTTAAATTAAAACATGGATTATCTAATTAATATTTATCTAATCACTGTTACTAAAATAGGAAGTTTCAAACAAATAACATCATTTTTAGGGATGTACTATAGGGAAAGTAAAATAACACACCGTTTTTACGTTAGGAGATCGATCATTAGTTGTCTAATGATTAACCATATCTTGCTAAACTCAAGGATAATCAAAATGGGTAGACAAAGCCAATGAAACCAATCGTCCCATAAACTGTACTTCTCCAATCTTTTGTACCTTATATAAGATGTTAATCGGATAAGCTTCTGTTTGCTTCGAAGTGTCCCATGAAAGCAGGACTGTCTCGCCATCAGGTTAGCACAAACCAGATCAAATGGTTATTAAATATTGCGACTTACATGAGGGACTACGAAAGTTAGGCAGTCACACTGTTATGGTTCAGCTTTAGTAGACGATAACACATGCACTACGTAAACTGTGGTCCCAAATCGCGGGAAATCGGATAATTTAACTGTTACATATATAAAGTAGTTTACAGTTAAAATGATATGTCTGAAGAAAGAACAATGATCACTGACCACTCTAACCAAATTCATAAGTGGTAACTTCCGACACAACAGTAACAAACAATTTCGTTTCCAATCTTCAAGGGAAAATAACGGGTTTGTCTAATTAACACAAAACATATATTTCCATGATGCAACAGATGGTTGCGTAATTTAGTGAATCGACTGGAAGTAGACGTGCACAACATTGGATCCCAGTTCCACGGTTTAGAGGTTGAAAGTCTTGGATTCGATTATCTGTGGAAAGGGAGTTGTAGTTGTAAACTGTTGATGAGTCCCATATTGAGACTAAATAAATGTCTAGTGATTTGGAGTTTTCAGTGGTTGTCTAACTTAGATCGGTTCATGGTTTCAAGATGTTTTAAAAATTTTACAATCATCACAAAATTCTATACTGATAATGAATTTTTTTATATCATGATTCTGAACTGATCTACATATGGTTTACGACAATAAAATAATACCAACTGAGTGGCAGTATTACATAATTTCACATATAATTTGACCAGTGATTATGAAAAATCACATGTAATTGACTAAATGATTAGAAAAAAGGACGTGGTAACTGTAATAAGCAGAGGAATTTTGTTTCAAAATTAGCAAACATGTAATGAATTGGTTATTAGTTGAAATAACAAAAGAGTTAACAGAATAGTTTGATATAAGATATAAATACTTGAGTAATAGTTTTAGTGGCCCATTATCTGTCTACAATTATGTTGTATGATTGATTGCTATTGAGATATACATATCGTTGTAGCGGTAAATAAATCCCCAAAATAAATAGCTCCGTAAGTTTTCGACATTGGATGCTGACCATATTAGTTTTAATGAACTCATCTAGGTGAAGGCGCTCGGTCATACATCCGCACTAGATCACGAGTGGGAACGCCGTGCTCCACAACCCTTGCAATTGCTAACCAGATTAGATCAGACGATCCTCGATATATTGATAGCCTATCAAATATATCTTCGAACCTCCTCGCTTCTCTCTTTTGATTTCACTTGCTGATTACGATTCATATTAGGTGTTACTGGTCAAAGCGTTGTCAAACTCCGAATGCCTGTGGCATCTTCATCGTCAATTCTCGTATATAATTATCGACTTAATCCACGTTAGTAAATAACGGAATTAAATAAGTCAAATACAAGAATGGATGTTTGAATAAGTATATTTTGTACCCTCATTGATCGGAACAGACAATCAAAGAATCACAGCGAATGAAGCGAAGAAGAGAAAGCGAAGTGAAACGAAACGAAAGAACGCACAGTGGCGAAGTTGTGTGAGCCAACTCGATTTAACCAAGCTTTAAACAATATTTATAGTCACACAAAAATAAGCTACAGATATGTGATGAGTAGGATAAAAATTGTACGTACATACACTCATATAAAAATAGTCAAGGTTGATAAGTGAATAATTAACAAAGTCAAAACGTGACTCAAAAAGAATGGATAAATTGACTTTTCCAGAAGCTAAAATAAACTATTTGGGCTCGATATAGGACTAGTCACTATATAGAGCCTCCTTATAGAAAATAGCACATTTATTTTAAAAAAATGTCTGTTTTCGAAAATAACACGGAAGTGATATGTGGTTTAATGTTAACAATAAGTAACGAAAAAAAATTGTACTACACTCGATAAAGTACAATGTCACATGAAGGGTGAGTGTATTATATGAAAGTGTCATACTTATGTAAAAAGAATACTTAAATATTGTAAAGTTGCCGACAAAAATGGTAATGTTAACATACGATTATGAGCAAGTTAATAAGCGTACAAAAATGTAACATGCATTTATGTTGTAACTATCTGGATGATAAACTGAGCGATTCAAAACACCATGAAAATAGTAATAAATCGTTTATAGGTTATGACAACGTAATAAGTTGTCAATATAAATAGAATATAATATAATAGAAATTGATTTGTGATGCTGACAGAATAGTGAAATATGAACATGTTCTGATAAGCCGCAGTAAAGTAAATAGTTTCGATTAATGATGAGTGGATTCGAATTTACATACATAGAGTTCCCGTTCGTAGGATAAGAGTAGTTAATTCATTAAATCGACGGGTGTTATTCGTTGCTGTACTGTAATTGATAATAATCGTAAAATGAGAAGTCAGTGTACGTTGTTGTTTGCGTTATGACAGATGCATCGAGTTATCATTGAACATGTATTAATAGAATGAACAGAGGAACAGGATAATTACTAGGAGACGAGATAAGCCGAACCGTATTTTTTTCGGTCGTGAAGCCTAGCGTAGTTTTTGTTGTTAGACGGAGATGCGCTGGAGATCGTTTTTACGGAACTGTACTAAGGCGTGATAAAAAAACCAATATATATGATTATCGATGGCGGCAAGTGAGACTGACTTGGATGCGACGAACAAGAGTGTATATTTGAGAAACCCTCTCCAAACTCTATGTTCTGGTATACAGTGCTATAGAAATAGAATAGTAAGTGCAGTAATCAAGTAACATTTGTGCATAGTGAATGATACAGCATGAAGTTATATTTGTGGACGAACAGATAAGATGAACGTAAACGTTACTAACCAGCTAGTAATGCGGAGTCGACTACTTGTTGTGTGTATAGACATTAAACTAAGGATCGTCGACCAAAGAAAAAATGATTGAAGTTCTATTTAGATCATAGTTGAAAAAATAGCAAACGACGATTGCTGTGTACAAATGCGGTTAGTGAACTTTAGTT